ACATAAAGACAATTAAATTTAATCGTTAAAGAAGAAGGAAACCAGGCGAAACATGAAGTATGATATAGACTGTGTCGGAATTGGCAGTATAAAAAATGACTGTTTTTATTGCGTTTTAATAATTTTTACTCAAAACTACTTGATATTTTTATATACAGAACTTTTTTGACAGCGAATAGTTCAAAAGTTTTATGAAGCCATATATTTAATGGACTGGACTATAAAAAGAGAATTTTCCAGATGTTTTCAAGAAAATTGCTAACTATACCTATGATGATCAGAAATGTGAAAATATATAACCCAGCCTTACCGCCGAAAAAATCTTAATCGTTTCCGACATCATATGAGCTCCCTTAAAATATTTTTTTTCATATTTCAATATGTAATAAGAGTAAGAGTAGCGAAGGATACACTACTGAAAGAAGGTTCCTTACATAAACGCTTTACGAATCGGCGATAGTACACAAATACATTCATGGAGAGATCTTATACAACAGTACCTATATGGCTATATATTATTATAATAGTATAATATAGCCAATAAAAATAACCATATGCTTAAATAAATAATAATATAGAGGGCCGAAGGTCAACGGATTTTTCAGAAACACTACCACCTGCATTTGAATATAGCGACGGGAAGATCTGCACGATTATTGTTATAATTAATATTTAATACCACCCTCTACGTGAACGGCGAATGAAAGTCTCGATCTCCGAGCCGTAGGTGTATATAATATTATATATTATACACTCGATATAAATGAAACATAATATTCTAGTAATAATTACAACGATTATCGGAGAAAACTTCGGTGACTTCTAACACGAATAGATGAGAAACAACCCAAACAACAACTACCTTTAATAATATTATGTATTATCTGATTATACGAGTATTACTACTACACACTTATTATAGTTAAAAAAAAACCATATGGGTACGCCCATAATTGTATGGGATGCAACCCGAGCTAATTGTGTGTGCAGACCGATATTAAAACATTAAAAAAAAATAAATTTTAATACTCACATCAATCATTCAGATTTGTTTGTGTTAGGTTTAGTTTGTATACCCGTATATATATAATATTATATTGGTCATTGGTATAATATACAGATTACAGTTGATTCTATTATAATTTAGGACGCTCGTTATTCTGAAAACTATATACGTTTTTGAACATAATTTTGTCATTAAGAAACGATATTTTATGCAAGCATCAGTTTTCAACTTTTTGGATGAGAACATATTTGTAGTTTCATACTCTAAAGCAGAATATGCTTAATCAATGAAACGTTGGTGCACACGAGAAGCCCGTAAAATGGTGGCTTACTTTTCGTCTTCTCTGCTCATCTACAACTTAAATATACTAATAATTTATGATTAGTTAACTACTCATTTGAAAATCAATGGTCATGTATCAAAATACTCGAAAAAATACGTGTTATCATCCAAAAAGTGAAAAAGTGAAAAATAGTTAAACATAACATATCATTTTTTTTTAAATATTTGTCTTGTAATAATCCCTTTAGTTTATATACAAAAATATATTTTTAACAAATACGTTAATAGTTTTTGGAATAATGAAATGAATTTTAAAAATCGTTTAAATCAAGTGTACACTATGCGTATATTATAACTAAATAGTAAACATCTAGTCTTGATTTGAGATTACTACAATGGCGTTTTAATTACACGCGCCTATGAGTATTGTTTTCTCTCAAAAGTCAATGACAATAAATAATAAAGTTTTCGTTGTTGTTGCTTTAGAGGAAAAAGAAAATAAGAAATTAACAGTTATCATTCCGGAGAAAAGATCCGGTGACCAACAACAACACCTTACCGTATGATATTATTGAATTTTAGTACAAAATAACATCATGGACCACACGTCTCATTATTATCACGTACTTACGACGAGCACAACAATATTATGCATTCAAACAGATACAATAGGTAGGTAAAATATACGTGTGGGATTAGATCTGCTCGCGCGCGTGTGTGTGTGTGTGTGTGTGTGTGTGTGGGTGTGTGCGTGTGTGCAGATAATGGGATGGATACAGGTACATATAATATATGTTATAAACTTCTAAGTTTGTATGTGCGATACGTGCACAGTGCGCACGCTGTATACTTATGAACGCGCCTGCATTATACATACCACGGTTACGACCGCGGTATAATGTGTAGGTACACGAGTGCACATTAACTCACACACTACTGCTGCTGCCGCTGCCGCCGATGCTGATGCTGCTGCACATCACGTGCATTCCGATCACGTTTCCCGATACGGACCGGCCGCTTCCGCGCAGATACCGTGGCGGCCAAGACGACATCCGACCTCTCGGATCGATTCTTACGTAAAAAAAAAAAACCTTGTTTACTTTTTATTTTTTTATTTCGCTTCTTCCCGCCGCCGGTTTTGTTTCATTACTATTATTATCATTATCGTTGTTGTGGATAATATTTTCTTTTTAGTTCCGTCATCGCGCGCAAACGTCGTCGCCGATTGTCGTTTCTCCGAGTTTTTGGACTATCGTACCTTTATGGTTTGTACGCGTGTACGCAATAATAATAATAATAATCACAAGAATATAATATCGTGTATAGTTTAATATTATTATTATTATTATTATTATTAATCGGCGTGCTTGTCGCCCGGAGCGCGGCCGTTACCGGGCCCGCACCGCTTTCGCTGGCCCCCCGGGAGAGATGTGCGGCGCGTAAACGATTGTATTTTTTTTTTATTTTATACTTATTTTTCGTACATAAACGTCTTTCCGGTGTACCCGCATGCTATCTTTCTCCGATACGCGTACGCGTCGCGGTGATTAATTGCTTTGGACGCGCGAACGCCGCGGTATCTATGTATATATATATTTTTTTTTTTTTTGTTGTTGTTGATGTCGTCTTCGGTTTTTTAATACTTCAATTATTTTTTACGACGCTATAATTTCGATCTCGTCGCCCGAAACGCCGACTGTTATAATGTATGCGAACTGATGTGCGCTAGGTATAATAGTTGATTAATACGATCATAACGCCCGAGCGAGCTTAACATTTTTATCTACAAGTACCGAATCGTATATAAACATAATTTTATACACACATATATATATAGCTTTGAGTATGTTATGTGTATACCGGAACTGTAAAAAAGTAAATTTTCCCCAAACGAGTCACGACTTTATTTTATTTTCGGTAGGACCTATTTATGTACCTATCTATTATAATTTACAGATAAAAAACTACGCGTATCTTATCGTTTGGAACATTCCCCAAAACGTTTGTGATCGTCCGTTTGAATAATGTTACTAATTTATTAAACTAAGTATGTAATGTATAAAATAAAATCTAGTAAGTACCTACCTAGATATTATGTATTGTTATTATTGTAACTATTTACTTTTTTTTTTAAGGTTGACAACTTCTGTACGTACGAGTCAACGTTTATTATTGATGTATTCGACTTCTCGTTCAAACACAAAAAAAAATACCTAATAAATATATGCATAATACGATATTATACCGATGAATTATTATGTACCAAATTTAAAAATAATAGCAGCAATGGTGGAATTAAATTTTCTATACTTCATCCGGAATATAGTCCTAGGGGATCTGTATCTTTTACTCGCAAACGTACAAATCATTCTCCGAAACTTCATGGCATATAGATATGTAGTATACAAACTATTGATAAGTATAATATAATTAAGTCTAATGCTTAATAGTTGATAACCAGAATACAATAGTTCTATAGGTATAACATTTTGAAATATTTAAAAATAAATGAGTAAATATAATTTAAAAATGTAAATAGATAATCTTTTTTTTTTGTATCTTAGAAGAGTAGATAATATAATATAATAATATATTAAGCCTAATGTAAAAAAACAATTCTAAATATAGTATCAAAAACCATATTACATGCTCAGTTTATTTAAAATGTTCACTATAATTGTTAAATACTGATTGGTGACTAAATTTACATAAATCTACTCACCTATAACATATTTAATAAATGCATAATTATGAACTATATCAATAAGTAGTTAGCTAGTAATATTTGTGTCATTACAATTAAATGGATTTTTATATTATTTTATTATTTAGCGATAATTATAACTTTTATAACTTTAGGTACTGTCTATACCACGTACATGTGAAAAAAGTTTTATAAGAAAATTGCTCTATATGAAATAATAATATAGTTGTATTTTATGACTATAATTTTTCTTGGTACCTATCACAGATATATAATACATATATGTATCTGTTGTAGTATTACATATACATTATACGTATATATATTTTTTAATTGTAATCACTCTTTCTACGATAGTGTCATTAACGGTTTTGTTTTTTTCTATAATTTTTTTTTTTTACTGGCTATCAGTATAATATTTTATGTATGTATAATAGATCTTGTAATTGCATAGTTTAAAAAAAACGATGATCTCAACTCCAACAGTACAAAATAGAAAATGTAGATAACACCTTATTCTTTAAACGCTCCATTCCAACCTCCACATCCACTGAAATGCTCTTATTTCCGAACCACCTGTTCTTACCATCCCAGGTGACTCCGGAAAACAAGTGAATCGGAAATTATGGAGACCTCCTATTTCAATAAATTCACCCACATGCCCCGAAATTCTATCAATAGATGGATTATATGATTCTTCACTCGAGACTAAATAACCACCTATTCAACACGTCATCACTTTCGTTTGCAGGTTGTTAAATATACTTAAATTGAACAGAAAAAAACGATCATGGTAGTAAATAAATAAATATAATTTAATGCTTCAATTAATATAAATTAAATGGTCTAGGTATAATGAGAAAAAACATTTTCTCAAGCCTCAATTGGATAGTTTGCGAAAATGAACCGCGGTACGTCATTGTTGGAAAGGTCGGACGGTGCTTGGGTCGTGGAAGAAGAGTAATACGAAGCCCCATATTTTTGTTGTTGTTGGTGTTGTTGTGGTTGTGACTGTGGTTGTTGTTGGTGATGCTGTTGTACATTTCCCCCCTTACGCACTGGGCACAGACATGGTACCCATTTTACGTCGGAGTTAAAATGGGTTTCAAAGATGGATTGCAACTGAAAAAAAAGACAATCATTAATTGTTCAATAAACTGAACATATAGTATCATAATATATATATACCTTTTACCTATTTTATTTATTTCAATTGTTTGATTTGCATAGCGAATACTTTTTAAAAAAAAACCTTACATATAGACATAATATAATATATTATATTCTTTGCGGGCACAAAATGGGTACCGTATAATAATTATAAATGATTATAATAATAATAATAATAATACAAATATAAAAACAACTTATGGAGAAACGGCGAGAATGGATCCGACAACTATTTACATACCCGTACTTTGGACAATGCATGCGTATATCTATTAAATGTACATATATATATTATAATATATATATAATATTATAGGCATGCTAATAGGCGTACTTTGCACAACAACTATGGAAATCACGCTTTCTTCGAGAAGCTCACATTTTTTTTTTAGTATCATTGAAAAGAATACTAAAGAGTAGGTAAATAAATAACATGGAAGTTTACTGCAGATAGAGAAGGTGTTATTCAAAGAAATGTAAATTTATAGAAAATATAATACGGCCCTGAAGATACAAAAACAGTGGGCCTCATGGAATTAGTCTGTGGTATCGTTTAGCGGTGGCAACGAAGACTTTAACGGAAGTTTGTCAATTGATAGCTGACCCAAGAAAGCCGAGATTCTTGCATAGGCGGTCTCATATTTCGACTTAGTGGGAGGGGGTGAGAATTTGAAAAAATCCCGCGCAAACGACTAGTACTTAAACCTATTGTACCTACAAGTGGAACGACGGAGAGTATAATAATATAATAATCACAATGTGTGTGTGTGTATATATATATATATACATACATACATATACACGACTATTACAGAGGCCCATAAATATATTTCGGTCTACTGAATCCATTACGGCGGTGCACTGCCGCGTGTATAACCCGTTGGTTCAGTTAAATTATATACACACCAGCTATAAGGTCTAAGCCGTTACGAGTGGACACACGACGTCAAATTCTGGAGGGAAAGCTCGATAATATATTGATACTGTGTATACCTAGTACCTATCTATATAATAATGTAGAGTATACCTATACACTACAAACCATTACGAGACGCGCAATGCCGCTATACCGCGGTTAGGATGCTGCAGCGAGCGTATCGATTTACGACTGTCATAACGCGACTCGGTGTGTTTCGATATACGTACATATATATGTATTATTGAGGTACGACGAGACCTCGTAAAATGTGATGTAGTAATACTAGGTAGTAGATATATTATTACGACAACGACCAGTCCACGTCGTTATAGTAATGTCACGTGTGTGGGACGAATCTTTTATAAATGTATAGACAGACGGAAAAAATAGTTAGGTACATATAGGTAGATGATTCGCTTACAGAACCTACGTTGTACTCGTAGGGGTTGTGTAGGAAGGCACAGAGTTGACAAATTCGATTGAGATCATGATGTGAGGGAGAACACTGTATTTGATGGTTACGTGTTATTTTTGTTTTTGATACTTAGCGCGTCTTTATTCAACTCTTTAGTATTTAATAAACTGTAGGATTTACAAATTTATTATTTACATATTATTTTGCTTGAGTAGGGAAAATATAATATGTGAATGATATACTATCGACAGCCAAAATTAACGTTCTTGATGATTCAATGATTTATTATACCCCTACTATGACTCGAACTCTCATAAACAGGTACAGATAAAATAATGCGTTTATAAATACCCTGCAGGCATAATATTATTTTTTATAATGAGTTAAAGCTAGAAATCGATAAGTACAAACCATTGCTGGTTTTTCAAAAATGCAAAACAAGTGTGTTGGTAATTTGAATGTATATACGAATAGAGTTTATAATTTTAAAACTTGACCATAAATCAAAACAAAACGTTTTGATAAATAGCCCGAAAAATGAATCATTGCTATTTGATATTACGCTCATATGCTAACACATCCACTGTGGATGATTTTCAAAAAAATATTAAACTAAATTAATTCTTGTGCTCGCAAATATAATATAAAGACTTGAGACACTAGACAGGCGTGGGATTCATTAACTTCGTAAAGTAAACGTTCTCATTTATTGTATAAGTCCACACACCACGCCATAAATATTATTTATTGAGAGGATTTCGAAACGTATAAGGTATAAACCTATAGACATGTGTCATGTACCTACCTATCATCAGCTACCTACGCGATTTGACCGAATATCGTACCTAAGAATTCCTACTTTTCTTCTGCAAGTAAAACCAATAAAATACTGTATATTGTGATATCGTTTACCACAATCATAAAATTATGTCGATGATTTTTTTCGCATAAAGCATGATAAAAACTACAGGCGACAATTCAATCAGCAATCACAAATAACATTATTCCATCCCTGGGAACGGCGACTCACGGGTGTGCGGCAACCCAAACCATCTCTACACTTGCTATCGGCGCAAACGAGCAAAAACCAGTAGATTTATGACGAGCGTGTGTGTGTTCGTGTGTGTGTTAAATATATACGCTGGTAGAGATACGCTAGAGACTTCAACGAGCGAAAAACCCTCTTAGCTCTGTGCCTATTTTTACCACTATAAATCTCACGGTTACAATCGGCACATCCGCACATCCGCGCGCGCTATCGGCGTTGAGAATATAATATGCGAGTATATAGAGGCATTACGCAGATACACATAGATAGGTATTATAGGCAAGTAAGGTATACAATGTACAATATGTACGCTGCACGGACGAGAAGATATTATACCTCGTACATGTCATACGGCTCGCCGCCGGTCGTGCTCGTCGATTTCTCTCTCTCGCGTCGTTCAAACTCATAAGCATACGCGCTCAGGGTTTGACCTTCGGTGTCACTTTCTTCGATCACGAACACCGAACGGACACAACAGCGCACACACATACACACACACACACACACACACACACACACACACACACTTACATTATACCCACGCCGCACACGTGGGGGCTTCGGCAACGGTTTAGAATAGTACGCAGATATATAATATATAAGTGAGGTGTATGGGAGAGAAAAAAATTTACCTATACACAAATGTGGTATATAGGTACACGCGTATAATATAATAGGCGCATTATAGAAAACCTCTTTCAGCTTTTTCATTCCGTTGTCTGTTTTTTTTTCCGTTAGCGATCCTCGAACTCGATAAAGTGCAGTATACCCACGGCGAACACGTATCGAGCTTATTATACGCGTGTATACCGTGCTCGCAAGGATGCGTATGAAGCTTGGTACCCCGACAGACGAGATGACCATGGTTACGGTAGTGATATCACTATATGTAAGTATAGGGCGCAATATTTAAACATGGAAGATCGATATTGAATGTTCCGAGTACACGCTCCCCCTTTCAATCGATTCGCGAGATTCTCAAACTGCACGACATCGATGTAAATGAAACATAAAATATATGACTATAATAATATTATATAACTGCACGTATGCATAATGTAGTTTGACGAATTAATACTATAGGTAAACGTGCGTCGCCCATCCATTATATGTACGAATAAACGAAATAAACTAATTCATATTTTAATAAACTAATGGTGATATTAAAATGAAATAGGAAAACTAGCCGAAGCGCTAAAGACGTATACTATTTTAAAGAAAAATGTTTCAAGTTAAAATCGTAATTTCCTTTGTATAATTAGGTCAAAGGCCGATTGCGGGTAAATCCGGGGTTAACTAGTTGGACCTAGGAAGTACACTTAACACGGTTAATTTTGTTCAAGTTCGAAATTACGAAATAGTATTTTATTCGATATTTTACTTATATGCAGATTACATTCTACCAGCCTAGCATAGTTTGATGGACAAAACGTATCAATGCACCAAGTACAAACCTTAAAAACATGAATAATAATAATAATAATTCTATCATATTATCAGTAATATACAAAAATATGAAATAAATATCGTTAGCACGCTTACATCGTAGAGGACGATTAATTACAAATGTGGAGTAATTATCTTCATATTCGATAATTAATTTGTAATCATTGTCTGAATTTAACTCCTTGTCGATTAAATCAATTTCACACCGATAGTCGAATGAACGGTGTAAAATTGGTTTAACGACGGATCTCTTTCTCGGCATATTACACTGTCTATTCGGGTGCTCTTGAATTTCCTTGAAAATAAGTATATGATTTAATGATCTAATATTTAATATATATTTCATGGAGTCAAACCCTAGTTATATATGTTATTAATTCTCCTTATTTAAACATTCTTTGAACATTCGATGTTTTACCGATAATTATTAATCTTTCGACATTAGTCTATAACTCTTCCCAGGTTACTACCCAATAAACCAATATTTTTATAACTTATAACTTATATTTAACTAAAATTAAAAAAAACATAAATAAAACATATCCTAAAAACTAAATATTGTGTTAGGTAATCATAATATTTGTGTCCTGCAATTTTTTTATCGTTTCTCGAACTATTATAATTTAGACTTGAAAAATAATTCCGTGGTGTTTAACGGGCGTAAAAATGTGTACATGAAGTAAGAACGGACAATAAATATTATTAGGTATTAGGTACATGGATCACTAACGCAGACGTCTTCAATCAATAGCACATTATACGACAAAGTGACTTTTATACACTTAAAATATGAGTTATATACAGTTCCTACATTTTAAAGCATTTTAAAGTACTTTAATTGGATGTATTAGATGTCAACTACTGCAATATTTAGTTTAAATGTGTCCATTAACAGCTTACAAGCACTCATTCAACGCGATGGGTAATCCTCAAACCATTGTAAATACTAGGTAGTATAGTGGCACATTACTCAGAACGTAATTAATAGTCGGCAGTTAGTCATCGCTCATCACGCTAAACATGCGTGTGATGATTTACACGCACGACTTAACAAAATGAAAATTGAATTAAATCGCGTGCTTAACTAAATGACGAAACATTTTAACAACAACTATTCGATGATTTGATTCATTTAAATCAAATGTAAATTAACTCGTCACGCAGTGCTTACAACTAAAACCGAGATGCGTATACGTCGAGGGACAAGCAGAGAATATAGATAACATTGTATACCTATTGTATATTATTATACATCCGATTGTCGAGTCATAAGTATGTAAGGGACTTCATCGAATAATAATGAGAAGAGATTGCAATCGTGCAAACAATAATTATTGATAGGTATATTTTTTATATAGATATATAATATCTAGTAATCTTGGTGACCCAAGATTACTTTATTGTTTAGTTAATAGATATAATAAAATGTTAAGCACTTCAATAATTAATTCGTTTAAGCTTATACTTTGAATTAGTCATTTGTCAAAACGAAATTAAAAACACCTACTAAACACTACCTACGATAAAAACACAAGTTAAATTATACATATTTTTTCATATTAGTTATGTATAAGTGTATCAGAAAAACTTAATTAATCGGGTCATTAAATTATAATAAAATGTAGAGATTAAACTTTAAAGATTTAAGTGGCTAAATTGTTAAGATTTTCTTGAATTAATTATATTAATATACATTGCGAAGAGACATTTGAACAAAAAAAATTGTATATTATAAGTTTTGAACAAATTTTTAATTAATTGCATTTCAATACCGTATTCGCTTTTAACTTCGGTTATGAACAAATTAATACAAGCAATATTAGGTATAATTGTTACCTTTTGGCGTACTGGTACAGGTACTGGTACAGCTACTTGATTTGATACAGAATTTTCATTAGATTCTGAGGCCTTAAACTTCATTTGCCACCAATGTGATGTTTCTTTTTGTGGAACTGGCCTATATAATAAAAATATATACTGAATTAATTAACGAAAATATACCATTATTGTTTATTTGCAGCTATGAGGAATTTAATGAACATTTTTTACTGAGTTAAGTTAATTATTTTGTTGAGTTAAGTTATAAAACATTTTAAAAAGTTTAAAATTAATAGTTATCCTAAATTTTTTTTTTACTCGGTTAAGTTAAAAATTATAGAGAAACTTGCAATTACAACTTATTAACTTAAGTCGAGTTATTTATTTTTGATTTTTTTAATGTTTATGCAATATGCATCATCAATAATTATATTGTATTATATTTATTATTTAACTATGAATAAGCTAATGTAACTTGGATTTGATCGAATGGAACTCGTTATCTATCTATATTAAGTGAACATCGTACAAAATTAAATTTAAAAAAGTTGAGTTAAAAAGTTAAAATCAACTTAATTTAAAATTTTTAAAACGTTTATGTCCACGCTAGTATATTTGTATGATTAAAATAATTGTTACCATTGCATGGCTAATGCAAATACCACATGTTATAATATACTCGTATGTAAGTATACCTAATAAATAATGCATTATATCACTAGCGGCACTATCCACAAAACTATATTTTAATATTTTGTTATACAAAAAAACGAAACCTTATCAACTAGATTATTTATTGTTTCTGTTTGACTTTTTAAGTGTCTTGACAACATTTTTAAATTCGTTGTATCTATAAATGTTTACCTAACACAGAAGAGCAGTATTGCATTCAAATTCAGATTTTTCAGTGATTAAAAATAATTTTGTTCAATATACTATACATTTTTTACTGTCGAAAATAATTTTTATTATACAAAATATAAGAATATATTCTGCATAAGCCGTTAGGTTAGGTTAGTTATTTTAAAAAAACATTGCTCACTTTGATTGTTGGGCAACATTATCCACTGAAGGTGAAATGGGTGTACTTGACTTCTTCCGAGAAAACAGAGTTTGGTCCGTACTCAAGACGCACAGGATTAGGATCAGGACCGCCTGCGTGACGAGAAACATATAATGTAACTATTATCGTATGGTGATCAAATTAATATTATTATATGACGTATCAAAATTTTAAAGCGTGTCGTACAATAATTATTTATTTAAATATAGTATTTATTAATGAAATTATCTAAAATTTTATAATACTATGTCTACAACACGATTTATTATAGGTGCATAACAAATACACATTTATAACATTAAACATGCTAGAATAATTTCCTAGTAAAAAATATAATATACATAACACGCATACTTTAAGTATAAAATAATTCTACGTACCGAAGGGGCGACGTGTTTGGCGTTGGAATACATGACGTGAATTGTGACCAAAGACTCGCTTTGGACGCTACCAACCCTATTTATATAGGCACGGACAAAGAGGTAGAGGTAGTTCTAGTGGCTAGTGCTCTCGTACACCCGGAGGATGAAGACGAGGGTTACGAGAGATACGAGGAGGAGATGTGCGGCGTCGGTGCATCAAACACGAACCCGAAACGGATAATAATTATCTACTTCAGTGAAAACAGGAATTAAAACGAGATAGACGAACTGTGTTACCTATATAATAAATATATATAGGTATATTTACCTATAATAAGGGTACAATAATTTTCTCCCATTTCCCCTCGTCTTGGGAACATCATATGCGTGTAAGTACGCGCGCATTTCGTCCGGACCAATCTTGTGGTTCTACCACATTCCTGAATTGTTTAAAAACTATATTTTTTATTTTTTACTCAGGAACTGTTCGAGGAATCTAATAATATATACGTGGGTTAAAAACAGCTAATTTATAAAGTTGATTCACTATATGGTATAAAAGCTAGAAAATTATATAGAAATATAAACATGATTAAGAAAAAAGAATGCAACGGGACTCGTTAGAAATGGAGATGGTTAATTTTTTTTTTTTTGTAAACAAACTTAAAATTAGCTTATCACCTCCGGGTATAATATATGGTTCTAATACTATCCATTTAGTCCAATAGTCCAAACCAAATGCAAAGCAAACAAATACAACAAAATCTTAAATAGTTCAATGAGATATCATACTTACAAACATAGTTTTACAATTGTTTTATTGACCATAGTCAACACACTCTTCAAATGTTTGCTAGTAATAAATTTGAAACATTGTTGGATAGCAATATTATTGTATGCTTATAAGTTATAACCATTTTAGACCAGTATACCTTTTTGGCCATTTTGTAATAACCGTTGTCGATCAGTCACCAATGCAAACTCTTAAACAAATTATTCATTGTAAAACCATATAAACATAATTCACATTACAATATCATTCATATTGCTATTTTTATATCAAATATTTGCAAATGTTTACATTCTTTACCTTTGTTTAAAGTAAGAATAAATTGTAATGAATTTATTTTGGTTAAACTCGTTGAACTGCAAATTGAATAATAGCTATTATTGAAAATAGGTATACCTAGAAATGCAAAAACTGAATTGTCTGAAGTACCTGAAAAAATTAAGAATCTACTGAACTAGCATGACCTAATGGTCCAAATAATTCAAGAGTATATTATTAAACCAATTTTCTATATTCTGTTTAAAAGTTATTTTATCCATTTAATCAATTGATCAATCCTAAAATTTGAACTTGTTTAAACCTGCAAGATTGTACTAGATGAAAACCATAGATAAATACAAATAGATAACCGTCTGTACATTATAGTTGTGACCAGTGTTGAAATCGGACGCAATTTATAAAGCAGACAATGTTTACTTTTGTTTATATGATATATAACATATATATATATTTACTTATGTATATATTTTATATACTGTGATAATATTGTTTTGTAAACATTTCCAGCTTTGTATATGGCGACCGGCATCAATGATAAGGAGACGGCTATCTAATTGTGCTGCAGGTCCAAAGATAGCTTTATTTAATGATATTCGATATCAATAGTAATACAATTCAGAGAAAATAGTAAATTGCATTTTTGAACAGTATGTTGAATCTTAAATATCCTTATGAGGTTTAAATAACTTTTCTGGCTGTTAACAAAAACATAAGAGGAATATATTATTATAATGGTCCTCTTAAATGAACGAAAGTGAACATTTGTGTGAAAAAACGCGGAGAGTAAGTACTTACCTATTAAAACGTAGTTGAAAGATTGAAAGATGTCAACTTTATTTTTAAATGTTTTACTTGTTTGAAAATATAATTATGTTTTTCTAAATCAGTTTTTGTTAAAGTGACGGAAAAATGAACGGTGATCATTGTTCTTATATCTATACATTTTCCAAAGTTCTTTGAACCTGTTGAATATAGGTAGTAGTTGTATTTGTGGGGAGTGTTTTTCGATGATGTTCGTTTACATTTTTCATCAAAACTTTATGACGGTTAGTTGAATTCTTAACTAGGTAGGAACATAGCTAACAATATTTTGTTATTAGATTCTTATATAAAAATTATGATGAACGAATATTTTTTTAAAGTAGTTATTTGGTTGTAGGTAGTTTTTCTCAATACATAATGAAACTACCGAGTGTATAAATAAAAATTACCTTTTACTTAAATTTGATCTGTAATTAACTAAGAAAAAACTTATGCAAGTTTGAAATGTTTGAAATATTTTCATTAGTCCTAACTATTAATTGTTTTTGTTGCACCTAAAATCGTTTTACTTTAAGCATAAGTAATTTTTTTTTATCTAAATATTTTCTGAATTAAAAATCACGAATTGTTTTCAAACATTTGTTAAACAACGTAAACAAATTCTACATTTTTTAAGCGAGATTTATTTTACTATTTTTAAAATACTGATGAAGTGATGACGCATATGATGTGTGTTAAAATAATTTAAGTCTATGTAAATATTATATTTCTTACCACGCTGACTGCATACTCATTGATAAACGTAAACAATAAAGTCCGACCAGCAATTAAACTATAAATAAAATACTATGAATTATATACCGTTTGGACCACGGTAGATTATAATCTACCGCGGTTTGGACAGAATGCTTTTAATAACCGTGCGTATCGTTACTTTTTGTTTTATCGTCGCTGTATTGTGTCCGAGGGGAACTACGCATTGCTTATATACAACTATATATATAAATATATTACATTAGGTATATTATGCTATATGCATATATATTGGTATACAGGTTAACGTGTAACAGGTATTATTATAGGACAATCGTTCATCGGTTTTTATGACTTATGAATAAATATTAGAAAAATAAAAATTATTGTACAATAAATTAAAAATGACTGTACGCAGTCTACTAAAAACATTATCATAATGAAAGTTGAAATACATGAAAGACCCATCACCATAAATAGGTACGGTTACATATTATAAGTGAAAAATAAGTAAGTACCTACTTTATGCGTAGTGGTTTGGAATTTTAATAATTTAGCAATTTTGAAGAATAGCAAATATTTTAATTGAATTATTTAAATATCTTTAACATTCACTGTCCATACTATAGAATATCATTTATTAATATTATCATCAAAAGAATAAAAATAAATTATTTATCACATAAGTAAAATACGATATTATACAAAGCCATTGAAATAAAATATCAATGTAAAAACCGTATAGTTAGGTACCTATAATTGATAATTAATCATTAATCAACATAAGTACATAAATACGTTATACATATTATATTCAACCTGAATCATAAATAGGTTAGATAAAGTACTGAAAAAATCACTAAATATAGTTTTGACATTCTTTTTAAAAACTTACATTTGAATTTGTTAATACAAAATATAACAAATTCTTAATTACCTACTTAATTGTTTTTATAAAAATAGAAAATCAAAATTTGAATGAGTAGTTGTTGAGTGATTTAACTTTGTGTACTAAAGGTAATAGCTCATGATAATGAGTTTGGAAGATGTCCCCATGACTATGGCGATTTGAAAATTTCGGTACCAAATTCATATATTTAATCCATCTACATTTATAATTTATAAAAATGTTCCAATTGGTTCAACTTAAGTTTAATAAAATAAATATCCACTATATCCCATGGCTATGATAGATTCGATATTATACATATCATACATTTTATATTTTTATAAAACCGTTTACTATAATTATCTTTAGTATACACTATACACATTGTAATATACTAATATCTCAGAACCTGTACTTGTTAAAACTATGAATTAGGTATCTACATACAAATATTAAACAAATTATCTACCAAATAATTTACAGTAAAAAAGAGGGGTTTTCATTTGAAAAACATAATTTATCACCACAAGACACTCCTTAAATAAGCAGTACAACACAACTTAAGGATTCGAAAATATGGTCTTTAAGTTTGTTTAGAAATTCCGAATTTCAAGAATATTTGTTCCAGTTTAATATTATTATGAAAAAAGTAGGTTCCGCAAAATGTTCAATTTTCTGTAAATGTTCCTTGAGTAAAAGAAGTTGAGAAACACTGCATTAAAAGCTAACTATTCATAATAATTTTCTGTGATTTATTTTATTTTCGTTGTCTGGTATAATGAGGATATTTAAGTTTATTTATAGTTTTTTTAAATATTTCTTCTTAAGTACCTACTTAAAATGTTACCTAGTACTTTGTGGGTAAAGTAATCAGTACATATAAATTACAAGTAGGAATGTTGGTGGGCCAAGTTGGCTCATGTTAACTGCAATAATGTCATATTTGATATTTTTGAAGAGGATAATAATATCGTGTTTACGGTAATATAATACAGCAAATGGCCAATTATAATATCTCATATCACATTATTATATTATCAATGATTAACTGAGGAATATTGTATCATCCGTTCAGCGCTTCGATTTTGTTATTTTCGTTTGGGCAATATATAGCCAATAGGTACTTACGACGTGCGTGCATACTGCATGCACGCATAATAACAACAACAATATAAAATAATTATACATTGTAATAATAATTTATAATAACAATGATTATAAAAACAACGATAGTTATAATATTATTGTAATCGAATTGAAATCCGACCGGTGTATATACCTACCTACCTTCAATGTACATTATACGGTATTAGATAGTATACGTGAATACAGAATATTATTATTGTCGGGACATGCATAATATTATTACGCTCGTAGCCCGTAGGCACTAGGCATCCATATAATATAATATAATATAATACACACTATAAAGCCTAACCCTACGAATTATATGTTGACGGTGAGACCTGCAGCAGATGCGCAGTGCGTGTGTATACATATATAGACACACATATATATATATATATAGAGAGTGGGGTGTTTTATATTATATTTTATATATTTTTTTTTTTTTTTTATTATTTTTTAAAAAAAACCCAATACTAGTATAGAGAAAATAGAAGTACAAAAAAACTAATAACGACCAAGACTGGTTTGGTTAATGGTAAATTTACATTCTCGCGGGAGAGTGCGGTAGGTAGGTACCCCAAAATGAAATCATCATTTTTTTGAA